ACCGCGCCTGGCCTAGAGATGTTAAATAACTAGTCCAAGGTCTAAAGCTAATAAATGAAAGTCAATCTCAGGATTATTAGAGCTCAAATTCCATGCTGCTAAGCTGTACAGAAGGGAGGAAAGTTTTAGACAACGGAAAAATAAAATCACATGTTATATAGTTGACTAGTGCTCTTACTAAGTTGTATTAATCAAAGTGTCTCAATAGTCCAAAAATATAAAGATAAATATGAGCTGAATAACTGAAAAGGTAAGTGACATCCTAAAGGTTGGAAGTGGCACAACAAAAACTCAAGCACAGAAGTCTTCAGCCTTCTAAGTCAGAGATTTTTATAATATCAACTCTGTTACTTAAAATGATATTGTTTCACAGACTTAACACAGGCAGTTCTGACATGAGGACTTTTAAATCATTATGCTCCATTTAACATACTTGTAGTTGAGCTGCTATATTCATTCATTTTAGATGATTTATCTATGTAATGCTATTTTCCAGTGTATATCTTAGTCGATATGCTAATCCTTATAAATTATCCTCATGCTGTCCACAAATCCCCATCCAACTTGGGTGGTGTGTAATTCCATGTAAGTAATGATAAGAACCTGTTCCTCTTGCCAGAGTTTTGACTACTTTGTGGAGGCTTGAATGTGACCTGAAATCAAGAGGAGAAAATATTCTCCAATTCAGTCTGTTATTATAACTATTGATCTTTTCAGTTTTTAAAATTTAATGTTTAAAATAAAATAAAACTTAATGGTATAGTAGTGTCATTTTTATCAAATAAAAGGTACCCCTTTTAAAAATACAATTTAATTATTAATGATACATGTATGTTCTGGCATAATACCATCCCAATCAAGATGTAGAGCATTTCCATCACCTCACAAAGTTCACTGATGCCCTTTGCACTCAATTTCCCTCCACCGCCTCCTTGGGCAATTCATGATCTGATTTTTATTGCAGTACATTTGTTGTTCCTATTCTGCAAACTTGATTGGAATTTTTGGGTATGTGTTCTTTTTTATATGGCTCCTTTCACTCATAATAAAAGCATAATGTTTTCATCTATGTTATTGCATATACTAATTTTTTTTTCCTTTTGTGACTGAGTAGTATTTCAATGTATGTATATAACACATTTTGTTTGCTCACACAGCTGTATTGGATATTTGGGTTGTTTCCAATTTTTGCATCTTCATTTTTGAGGAAACAGTGGGCTCTTTCTATCTAGTAGTTCTCTGCTTACCTGCCTAGGACATAGAAATCAATGCTTATGGTTATTAATCCCCAGACATATAGCCTGGCATTCCTTTCTGTGTCTTGGGTGCCACTTTGTCGTGCTTCAGCTCAGTAGTGCATGGTCTCGGCTGGTGGAGAAACCCTCATGTAAAATTCTTAAGGTATTTGGGAAAATAAATAAGTGAATGGAAGAGAAGCAATGCACATGAAATTACTGCTTCTTTCCTTGCCTCAAGTATCCCCTGTGGTAAGGAGCACAGGAGTGCGTTGCAAAGAGATTGAGTAAGTGGCAAAGTAAAGATGAAAACACCTTGAGAAGCCACTTAGATGAAAATCCACATCATTGCCTAGTACATGGTGAATTCTATTCTATCTAAAATACATTTAACACTTAGCCTAGAGCACAGGCAGAAAAACTGGTGGCCAACATGTCAAAAGGTGAGTTTGTTTTGAATTGCATAGACTTTTAAAGCAATTGTAATCCAGCCATCAATATTTAATTTAGGTATGTCC